CAAAAAAAAAAAAAAGGAAACCTGTTCACTTCACCAACTAAATACCCGAGTGAGGAACTGACAGCTAACAGACACGCTACACATGCACAGGACCTACATAAGATCCCATATCTAGCACAACAACTAGATTAGATCTTTGGAAGAGGACCAACCTGGAAGTGTTCAGGTACCTTTGATTCTATCTCAACAAACACTGCATTTAATTGAAAACCCCTTCAACTTCTGTGGCTTGCTTCTGTGTTTTAAAGAACCTCCTCATATCTCAGGCTGATGCTCACATCAGATCAGCAGACAGAAAGGTTTGAAAGAATATTGTTTACTTATTAGTGTTGGAAATACCTCTTTTCTCCCTTCAGGGTAGATATTCATTAATAAACAGCTTTAAAAAAAAAAATCAAGCTCTTCTGTTTAATTGCTCTTTAAAAGGATCCCACTTTAGTCCTATCAAGACTATACCAATGAAATGCCAAAATTGTCATAACATTTTCTACAGATCCACATGTGAGTTTATGGAAGTTATTTAGTGAACTAATCTGCATAACTCTAAACTTCTAAAATAAGGGGACTGTGGCACTCCAAAACTGGTAAAAGACTAACCTAACAGCCATGTTTTAAGTCCTCCATTTACCCATGCAGCAATAAGAAAAGAAAAGAGTAGGATCACTCATACAGCCTTTATAGTTCTTGGCCTCAGAGTCAAGTATGAAAGAAAATGCAAAGCTTGGTGATAAGTGATACAGGAGCTGAAACTAAAACCAAACTTTCTTACATGCAGCAAAGCTTATATCCAATGTAGCTAGCCCAATTCAAAGCAGCGACCATCCAGCCACCCAATAATTTAAATATTTACACATGTAATAACAGTACTTAAATTCCTGAAGCGTGAGAGTTTATCAACACAAGGTGTGAACATTTTGAGTTTAACTGAGTAAAGTCTCCAAGTCAGAATATAAAGGAACAAGACTTCTGTAACCGTACCACAACCAAATCTTCCATCTAGTTTTTCAGAAGGACAGATTCCATCAACCAAAACACAAATACTACTTTTTACTGTTATTTTTCTTTTCATGCTTCTCCCTACTCTTTTACACAATTTGGCTTTTCTTGGGATACAAACTCTTCCAGGCAGGAACTGTCCCTGCATGTATTTGTATATCACAGTCAGCTCCCAACATGGGGCATATTTTTTTAAAATTCCTTCCTGTATTAGAATCTCCCTTCTGTTTGACCTTATGTTCCACTATGGAAGTCTACATACACTGTCCATGGTGGGACATATCCAACTCTTTTTAATAATTTAAGTTGCTATCTGAAGACAGTTCAGCCATTAAGAAAAGGATGATACCTCCTGTTGAGCATGTATGCAAGAGAGGGAGTAGGGGAGGTACTGAAGAAATTCTATATCCTAAAATATATATTAAAAAAAAATCTAATCCCAAGGAAAGAGATGGATTTAATGGCTTAGTAATGCAAGCTCATTTTGGAGGAGTTTAAGAAATACAAAAAAGACAGTCTTTGGTGTAAAAACCTTTACAATCTGAAATTAAAATCTCACACAAAGGGTTAAAAAAGAAAGGGTGGGGGGAGGACAAAATACACAACAGCTGTCTGCTTCTCCCATGGTAGACACCTACTCTATGCTTCAGACAAACCACCATGTGATAACTCAAGCCCACAGGGCTTACATTCACCAGGTGTTATTGTGGTTTTGATACCATTGTGCTGCAGTTACCTAAACGAACTTCTCTGCTCTTCTGCCTACCAAAGCTATCTGATAAGAAACATGTACTGTTATAGCGGCTTCTTTGCTGTGGTGCTAGCATTGTACAAGAGTTCGTATCTCGTTTTGTTTCAAATAGTAAGTGGAAAAATCAGTTATCAGGCTGGGGCTAAAAAGAGACCAGTCTAACCTTAATTTATTCATGGAAATTTGAATTCCATCTCTTTACGCCCAGAAAGGTCTGCATCAGTTTTAATATATTACACTTTAGCTTTCTTCTTCCAGGATTCAGTAGGTATCTTAGATTTGACTACACGACAAATCTATAGTTTAAGAATATGACTGGCAGAACTTTAGAGAACCAATGTATCTGGAGAGAAAAAAAATAAATACACCCACCCTTTAAAGTAATTTTTTCCACCTACTGAAACTTTTCAGGTTTCAACTACATTTTTTTTCCACCCAACCCATGTGTGATTAGCAGCAGCAATCTCCTCTCTCAATTCAAACTGTTCATTAAGAACCCATCATGGAATAACACCAGTGTTCCTGTTTCTTGAGTTCAGGACAATATATATTGCTCTGGTAGAAGGATCTGTAGAAGAAAAGTTTGAATTGATGCACCAGTCTTGCAGATGTATGGTGCACAACTCTGCTCATATAAGCAGATCTGTAGGATTCCCCATATGCCCAGAGTTAAGGTACAGTATTTATTTGTAGGCACAGGGCCTAAAGTTTATATCCTCTTCCTATAAAAATCATGCTTCCCTTTAGATTTTGCTTCTCAAATACCAAAATAAGATAGCATTAATTACGAAAGGCCACCAAGTTATACTCTTCAAATTCAAAAGCATTGGTATTTATTGGATTATTTGTATGGGAATAAATCATTCAGACTTTTCATACAATGTTAAAAAAAATAGTGCCTCAAGATGGTTTTGAATCCTAACATCTCCAGGCAACAGATGCAACAAACAAGCAGTGGCTTTGTAATGCAAATGAAGAATCTCAGGTATACCACAAGGCTATTCCACCCACAAATGGTCAGAGATCAACACCTCTGCTGAGTGTTGGGTCTCTCAAACCTTATCTGTTTTAACAGTCTTTTCTTCTGAAAGGAAACAAGTAAACAAGCAGCCCCCGCCCCCCCCCCCAAAAAAAACAAAAAAACCCCCCAAAAAACCCACCCTTGAATGGGTGACAGTTTGAAGCCCAACAAAGGTACAGAGCAGAGGTGAACAGGAGGGAAGACATAACATGCCATATCGGTTGTGGTTAATGGTGAAGTAAGCAAGTATATAATCTTCTGGGTGCAATGTTTTGATCTCGCACACATTAAAAACCAGCTGTCAAGTATGAAGACTAGCAAATATTATAGTTCAATTAAACAGAAAATTATTAAACAACTCAAGCATGTAGACTTGTGGTTAAACTGAAAGTTCTCCAGACTTATGTCAACATTAGTGTGTTATAAGAACACTGTTTTACAGAAATACTGGTACTGCTCTAACATGCCAGAGTAACACTCCACTAAATTAATCCCTGAAGTGTTAGGCAAGCAATAATACAATTAGAAAGCAGAGGCATTCCCTCTCCACACTAGATATTCAAATATTTCTCAAGCAGAAGATAGGAAAAATAGATGTGTTAAGTTGATCAGCTAACAGCAAAGATGTGGCCCTACAACAACACATTTATGGACAGGGTTTGATGTTTTATATTCTCTAATCATTAAATTGTATTTCTTATTCCAGTTCTTCCATTCATACATTTGTGTGAGGGTGGAGAAAAAAGGGACTGGTTACTGGATTCCTTATTTTCCAGGAGACACAGATATAAATGTCTTTACATACTGAAAAGGATTATATCATTTTTATCAGCAAGTAGGAATTACGATTTAATCTGTCAGGATATTTGTTATTTTAAATGCCTTTCAACATCAGACAGCGTATGTAAAAAAGACGATTTGGGATAGTTTTTTGTTTGTTTGTTTGTTTTGAAAGAAAGGTATGTATCTCTCTAAAATGAAATAAAATTGACTAACCTTGTTTTTATTCAAGACAGATTTTTTTGAACAGGAAAGCCCTAAAAACAATATTTTTCAAGTTTGTTTGTTTGAGATATATCATACAAATAAAGCATTCAGGTAAGAGTGTTACATATAAAACAGAAACATTTGCTATGTTTCGGAATCTATTGAGTCATTCTGTATTCAGGAAACCTTTGTTTGGACAAAACTTTCTCCAGGTTTGCAGTACAAATGTGTTGCTACTGTTAAATGTAGAAATCTGTATTGGTAATTTCCACCCCACCCACAAACAAGTAAAAAGAAAAAAGCTTACGTTAAAAGGCGTAAGAAAGCAAAAATAAAACCGATTGCTTGAAAGAGTTTGCCACAGAAAGCTTTTCCTTCTTACTAGCTCTTCATTTTAGTCACTTAGAAAATAGCTACCACCAATGAGCATTCTTTTCTAAAATTATGGAATACAATGGCAGTGTCATTCTACAACAGGAGGCACTGTAAGTTCTGCTTTCCCCAAGATAATACTTCTAGTGCAATTTCCACAGCTAGATTTTTAAAATCCCAGAAGTTTTACTGAGGTTGCTTCCACTGATTTACAAGAACAATGGAAATTTACTATTCAGCATATTTACTATTCTTCCAGCGCGCTTCTACACCAACCAGAACAAATTAGTAATTTTAAGAGTCAGATTCAATGATTCTCCTCTTGATGCAACAAATACAAAAAGCTACAGCCACAACCTTGCATTATATAATTATTCTAACTCATCATCGGCAACTGTTTCCCATGCACTCTCTCGCATCATTTCTATGTTGTATTTCCAAGTAACATCCACTCTCACATACATGACAGCTTTATACGAGCAGTCTATGTTAGGAAGAGAAAAAAAATCAGCTAAGACTGAACATGACAAACTGAGTAAAGGAAGAAACATCCATCGGATTTTTATATTTCAGTACAATCTGAGAGAACTAAAACCGGTCTAGTAGTGCTTCTTCCCAGAGTTACCGTAAAAGTAGCATTTAGGCCATTCAGCCACACATTATAACGTAACATCCAGACTATATTTTCAGCCTTGTTCATGGCAAATTAAATGTTTCCACCATCATTCCAATCAAGATGGCTAAGAAGTTTAGACAGCTAGCTACACAGAACCTAAAGAATAGAAGTGTAATATTCATAATAATTCAAAACACAGTCCTGAACAAGAAGAAAATTTCTCTCTCCCAAGGCAATTTGCATAATAGGTAACTCACTGTTCTAGGGATGGGTGGCGACAGAGATCCATTAGACATGTATGGGTCGTTATTCATATTTGGCATCATGATATACCCCGAATAACCAGAGTATGATGGGCCCTTGCTGTATAAACTGCTGTCTGGGTGTTTTCCTGTGAAAGCAGAGAAAAAGAGGGTTACCGGTATATTATCTTACCACTTAGGTTTTTTTATGCAGATCAGAAAATGTATATAGGCACTGTGCATTCATGGAAGTATTCTGTACACACGAGGCTGGTTTGGAGATTTGGGGGAAAGAGAAATAGGGTTGTCTGTCTGTTTTATTATTATTAAAGTAGCATATTGCTGGGAACCTTAGCATTATTTCTACTGTATGCCTGCCAGTATTTACTCTCTTAAGACTTGGGCCTAATGTAGGCATTTGTTGGGAATGCACTTATTGCAAAGAGTTCAGGGTTACATGTCTACTTTGCTAATATGTTCAAATAGCAATATCAGCAAATGATATTTAAAACATAATTCTCCATTTCTGAAGGCATCCATAGGATTTGGAGATTTTGCAACACATTCTTCTAGGGACTGTCCTGTGTAACTGACTGAAAAAGGCAGCATCCTAGCTACACAGATCACTTCTTTCTCAAGTCCAATATACATAGTACCCCAGCAATTCACCCTGGTCATGTTAACCAGCAGCAAATTAAAGTGAAGGAGTTCAGGATGATGTAGGATACCCTGCTGACTATTGGGGGTCTATTAAGTGCACACAGAATGTTCCATTTTTTTAATCTGTTTAATATCCAGTTTAAATTAAGTCTATTAGTGGATATCAGGACTAAAGAAAAGCTGAATTTTTTCTAGAACTCATATTACAATTCTAATGAAGAATATTAAAAGTTATGAACTAAACATTATGATACAGTGGAAGACATTACTGCATTTTCATCCAGCTTCCTAAACTAAAATATACATGATTTTCTCCCATCCTCCTCAATTAGCATGCACGTATACATCAAAACATCAACTAGTCAAAACAGAAATGAAACTGCATGTGTTAAAGTGACAGATGTGTTTATAAATTGAGTATATAGTTTCTTAGCATGCATAGCTCAGCAGGGTTATTAAGCAAGCGATGGGAGATATGGAAAATATTACCTATAAACAGATATTCTAAAAATAGTTATTTTCTTGGCAAAGAATCTGCTTGCCTACCAATATCAGTTGGCCAACAACTGAAATGCCCTTTGGCCGCTTAAGTTAGATTTGGTGTGCATTTACCTCACTTTTCTAAGTTGTGAAGATATATTTGCATTCTTTTCATGAACAGAGATCACTTATACAATCATAACTCAATGTGCAATAAGAAGCTGAATTATATTCCATTTGAGTTCCTTGTTAATGTGGAAAAGAAAAGGTTGCAATGCAGAGTGAAAAACAACTCAACATTTCTCACCTTCTTCAGGAAGTTCTCGGCTTTTATCATGGTATGATTCCTGGGCTTGTGCTTGCCTGGAAACCTACCCACACAGAATCCACCACAAAAAAGAGAGAGAGAAAAAGAAAAAAAAAAGGTTATTTTTATGCACTGCTGTTCACTGAAGTGCTGGATTTACTAAAGGATCAAAATTACTGTTAAGCAGTTTAAGTCATCTGAAGTTTGGCCCTGTACTCCTCCCTCCACCTCATTCCTGTTGAAAGGATATTTTTTTATTCTTTTTTATTTTTATTTTTTTACAGCTTTAATAATGATGTAGTTTGGAAAACCAATTGTAGCACAAGAAGTCCTACAGCTGTAGCCCTCCTAAAGAGGCTAACCACTGAGAATACTTCCGGCTTCCCTGGTCAAAATGGTCTTGCTAGAGTAATGCAAAAAGGAAAAAGGAAAACAAGTGCCTTTTGAAAAATTCCAGTCTTTGGTTGTTTTTGTGTTGTTGAATTGTTACCAAACAATTTATGCAAATCCTTTCAAGAGTGGGACTCATCAGCTGACCTCACCAATTTTTCCAAAGAATTTCACAGGGACTATAGGTCTAATGCTATTAGATTATCCTGTGATTCACAGGAATTTATTTGTCCTGGGCTGTGAGCACCCATGTAGGAAGGGGAAGAGCATCCTCCTGACACTCACCAGTTTGCATAGATGGATGTTTTAAGAGTTTACATTTCAAAACTTTATTTGGAAAGACAGACGCGCGTGTCCACAGTTGGTTGTTTTGCTATGCAAGCAGGCTTGACTGGGGTACCCTGAAATTGAGAAACTTACTGCAAAGAAGAGCAGAAGCCACCAGCTACCTTTCCTCCGCCTAAAACAGAAGGAAAGGATGCTCTACTGTTCCTGGGGCTGCTCGGCAGCAACCTTCTGGAGCCTTGGCAGCGTGTGTACCCAACAAGAAGGTCCCGGCACCCTGCTGCTAGGCAGTGCAGTAGCCCCGGCTAGTGACGATTTCAAACCCACACCTGCTCAGCTGAACCCTGTGCTTCTGCCTCTCCCAACTCAAGTGCCCCTTGGCTGCAGTTTGCCCCGGCCACTGGGGCACAAGGGGGAAAGGGGGCTGGGAAGGGGATGGACGGACAAGTCTCCCTTGCCCCAGCCAGGCCAAGCAGCCTCCAAAGCAGCAGAAGCATCACTAAGCCCCCAAGCTGGGACTCGTAGATGCCTCTCCTTTCAGCCCTAGGGCAGCTGGCTGCCAGAGCCATGCTGCCCCCTACAAAGGGGCAGCCCCTGGCTCTTGCCTCTCCAGACGCAGGTCAGGTGGCCATCAGAGAGGCCATTCCGGTTTTCTGCTACACTGTCCTCTTGATACGAACCCGGATGCCTTCAAGAGAAAAACAGAGGACATAAGGGCGTCCGGTTTCATATCGAGAGAGGACAACCGGACTGTCCCCTATAATGGCCACCCTAGGCAGGTCCCTCTGCACCGCCGAAGTTCCCTGCGTCGTCCTCAGACAGGGAGGGCTATGTGATCTCTTTTATTAGACCAACCACATTAGCCCTGCCTCATCCTCCGCGCCCTGTCCCAGCAGACCCGGGCCGCCGGCTCCCCTCAGGCCGCCCTCCCCATCCCCGCTCCCGGCGGGAGCTGCGCGCCAGGGGGCGCTCTTTTGCCCCCAAGTACCAGCGCAAGGC